TATACATTGCTCTGTGTAATGTTCTTTTCCTGCAATGTAAATTGACAGAATAAATGATTGTACATTATAAGTGCTTAAACTTACTTCAAGATGAAAGGCAACTTTTTCTTCTGTATAAAAAGTATTACAGGCAATGTGCAAATCAAAATATTATGTCCAGAAAGGCTATAGGGCAAGTTGCTCTGGTAAAGCAATTCAAAGGTCTCCATTCCATTCTTCACAGTGCAAAAAGATCTGATGGAAGAGCCATGGTAGACCTCAAAGCACTAAACACATATATTGCCTCCATTGTGAAACTAGAAGAATTTCCTTTACATTAGCCAGTGTAAGAGAAGGATTTTTCAGACCTCCATGAATAAAGAATACTTTCATATTCCAGTTCAACACACTGGAAATTTAAGATTAATCAGAACACTATTCTTTAGTCTGTCCATGTTTCCTGTAAATTCATTTAGGGCCCCAATCCTGCAAAATTTGAGCGTTTGTTCAAAGTGATATATATGCATAAGGAAACAATTGGATTACAACTGAGAGCAGAAAGTAGGTGAGTGCGGTATGCTACTGCATTGCATAAATTATTAAAAATGGGAAACGTTATCCCATAGTACAAGCAGCACTTGCTGAAAACAAGTCTTCTAGTACATACTGGAGTAAACGATTATTCCTGGAGTGCTGCCCCTTAAATATATACACTTGGTGAAATTGCTTTTTGATTTTTACTTTTTGAAAGTACAGTTTACAGCAGAGTAGATAGTTTGTGTCTAAACAATTGGCTTTCTGGATGAACTATTTGAGGTGGATGTTCAGTTTCATGACACATGGGATTATGCTGCTTGATTAAAGTTGACAGGACCATTTTATTTGATACTGGTTTCTTCAGATGTTGAATTTTGGTTTTTATTAATGCCTTTCTGCTGCTGAAGAACTGTGTCCCAATTTCTCTGTGTGGTCACTGTTCACTTATAATGAGACCTAGTTGCTTTGGAGTTTGGTTATTTACTAGGTCCATCTTCCTGCTAGAGATGCCAGAAGTGGCCTACTTACACTGCAATAATAGATAACGTATTTTAAAGAGAAGAATAGAATTTCTACAGAACATACATGTGAGACTTCAAGTATTCCCACTTCTGATTCTTGTAAGTTACAAATTCACAGATATTTTTCTGACATTGCTGCAGAGCAAAAATAAACTCTGAGATATTAAAGCTAATAAAAATTTAAGAATTATATTCTGAAGTTAGTTCTGCTTGCAATAATAAATTAAGGTGGAAACTTGCTGTGATAAGCTTTAAAAATTTCTCAGATATATGGTATCTGATGTAAGCTTTGTGATTTTGAAGACATGTTCCATGTTTGACTAGTTTTGTTGTAGTTTTACGATTTTGAAATTGATGTCAAATTAATTTGTATAATAATGTGAACTATGAATGTTTGCAGAGTAAGTAGTTTTCTGACTAGTTTTAATGCTATGATTTTTTATAAGCAAGAATGTAAACAGAAGTTCCCCTCATCCAAACCATGTGTGTAAAAATACTCATACAAATACAAGACCTTAAAGTTTTTTACCTACGCATTTTCTCTTAGAAGCCTCTGAACAATTGAACTAGTAGGATTATGACATCACAGGTAACTAATAAGAGAAAAATGAACAAACGAGTTGGGAAAGGGATTTTTAATCAGACTGTTAAATTTTCTTGTCTGTATTTTATTAACAACTTGTTTTCGAATAGATGTAAATCTTTTATATTAGAAACCATTACAGGCAAGAACTGCTCTTTTGAGTGTACTTTACAGTGCTGAGTATACTATTGGCTCTAAACAAATAACCCACTCCTGGCAAAATGTTGGGAGAAAGGATCTCTTTGTGGAAGCTTCAACACTCTACCTGTTCAACTAAATGATAAGAGGGCCCTCCGGTTCTCTTGTAGTCTTAGTATTCCAGCAAAAACAGGGAGGATAAGACTTGATTGTCCTGATATTTGTAAAATAAAAAAATATCAGAAAAAATATTAATCCAATACCACCACCACCTCCGTGTACACATGTACACAACACTTTCAGGGCTTCTCTATACAGCAGAAAAGGCAAAGGGAAACATTGGTTTGTGCAAGCTACCTTTTAACTGAAAGCTGCTTCATTTAGAACACTTATTTAAATTAAACTTAGCCATCTTTGAATTTCATTATCATTTTATTGCACGGTGTTTGTAGAATCTATAAAATGTATATTAAAAATCTATTTCTGATTTGCAAACATTGCTCCCCATATATCAGCAAATTCAGATTGGATGGCTGTTCCTATGTGTGCAGCAACTTAATGTGAACTTTAAGACAAATGTTAACAAGTGTAGATCTGGCATATGAGCCCTTTGTCTTAATACATGTCACTCTTAGTGCTATATATGAAATGTCTTAAAATAACGCCAATTTTTACCAATAGATAGTTGTGTGTGCTAAATGATTGTATATCATACAAGTGGCTTGTACATCAAATCGCTTAACAGTTGACTCCACCTCATGTCACTGACCAGATTCATTTCTTATTTTAACTAAAACTGTATTAAAGGCTTTTGGTTTTGTTTGTAAAGTGGGCTCTGATTTTTTTAAATACAGGTTGAACCTCTCTAGTTCAGCACCTTCGGGACCTGACTGGTGCCGAACCAGAGAATTTGCCGAACCACGGGAGGTCAATGTAGAGTGCCCGTGGGTCTCCATACGTGCAGGAAGTAGGGGTGTGGGAGGTGCTGCAGCACTCTCAGGCTTTGCGCCCAGCATGGCCCCTCGCCCAGGGGCTCTGCTGCCACCCGGGGTCCCAGCCCCAGGTTCTCCCCCTTCCTCCTGGAGCTTGAATGCCAGGAACCAGCTGTTTGCGGCACTCCAGAAGCGCTAGGAGGGAGGAGGAGGAGTTGGTAAGTGTGGGGCTGCTGGCTCGCGAGAGGCGTGGGGGGAGGAGGGCAGAGGGGGTAGCTTGGCGCCCTTGGATGCTCCGCACCCACTAACATTTCCCTATGAGTGCGCCAGTCCCGGAGCAGCCACGGAGCCAGCACCTATGCTGGACCACGGATGTTTCTGGACCAGAGAGTGCTGGATTAGAGAGGTTCAACCTGTACCTGTAAAACCCCTAAGTCAGCAAGTATTTTTCTTTTAGTTGCCTGAATTAAACTGGAAATTTCCCATGTGATTTCACTTCCATCTTTCAATGCTTATTGAAAATGTTTCTACTGTACAAACTATAACAGCATGACATATACTAGTATTAGACTGAGAAGAAATTTATAGCTACTCTACTGATAATTACTACCAATAGGGGTACTGCTTCATGTTATCATATATTGTTAAATTGAGCCAAATTATTTTAACTCTGTGAGAGAAGCTGCTTTGTATGTGTTGGGAAAGAGAGGGTTGGTGAGATGGTTAAAATCACTCTTTTTAAGGCCCACTTCGGTGGAGCATGTGCCTAAATTTAGGCACATAAGTAGTCCATTGACTTCAGTGGAACAACTCTTATGCTGAAAGATAGGTGAGTGCTTAAACACCTTCATCCACCAGGGCCAAGTATGACTTTATGTTGTCTGCTTAAGTTATGTTTCGACAGTGAACTTTTGCAACTCCTTATACCAATAATAAAAAATCTGTTACTGTGTAGATTGTTGCCAAGCAATATTGTGAGCTGCTGGATATTTTTCCCCCTGAAGGCTCTGAATAGTGCATGCCTGTACTTGTAATGACTACATTTAAATGAGCACATCTCTTAATGTTTTTTTTCAAGTTAATATAATTGAAATTTTATCCTCTTTATGTCTTGCAGACATCCGCAGGTCATATAAATGATCATTGGAATACATTGAGGAGTAAATACACTTAGTGCATATGATTTTCTTTTCAGAGAACTGCCTGTTTAATGCAGAAGTCAGATGTTAGACAGAACATTTTTATACTTAAGACTAAAGTGCATTATATTCCGACTGTAGCTAAATTGCTGCATCTGGCCATACAGTAGATGGTAAATCTGCACAACATTCACAAATTTTATCATTAACACAGAATTCAGTCTTAACTCTGGATTCCCCAGCATGAGAGGAAAATGTAAAAAGTTGTCAGTGTTTGTAAAGGGGGAAGGCAGCATTCACAGTTCTCCTCCTCACTTAAAGGTTGTATTGAGATCTTTCTTTATTGATTGAAGAAAAGGTAGTGTGTATATTTTCAGGCTAAAATGGTGCACCCTTTTGGTCCAAAAGCTTCTGGATGGTAAAATATTACAGGTTAAACAATTATTTTACTATTCTTCTAGTTTCCTCATTGGTAAAAACCATTGATACTTCATTTGAAATCTGACCACATGATCTTTGAGCTCTGTGTAAATGCGGACTTCAAGGTGTGTAAAATTATCATTCAGGTTAGAGAAGATTAAGGAAAGAACCACAAGGAATATTTAATTTCTAGACCATATTTCTTGAATCAGTCCAGATCTGATCATTTAGACATTTTTGAAGTATTTTCATTGTTGCTTAGACCTACATTTTCAAAACTTGATTTTTATGTGATAAGTGTTTTGTAGTTTGGGAAGCAAAATGTTGTTTTGTTCACTGCAAGGCTCATCATAGCAACACTTGAGCCTCTCCAGTCTCTTGCTTGAGTTGCAAAGTGTAGTTTTTGAATTGAGTTTAGATTTTTCTTCCTTTCTGCTTCTAAACTCAATTGGTTGGTGACACTTAATTTACAGTATTTTGAGATGAGGACCAGTACAGCAAGAAACCTTAGTGTATGTTGATGAAATTAATCTTTTGCCTAGCTGACTCTCCTCCACTGCCTCTTTCTCCCAAAAGCAGCACAAGTAATATAATATAATCAATGAAGACTTTAGAATATGTTTTGGTTGATGAGCTTTACTTAAGGTGAAAGATCGGGAGCCTAACTGGACCTCTAGTTACTGTGCCAGAATCTTTATTTGTTTGGTAATCTATTTGAAAGCAAATTTAATTTGGCTTTGTTTATTTTCAGAATTGGTAAAGGATTTCAAGGAGTCATGAAAAGATGGGGATTTAAAGGCCAACCGGCCAGCCATGGCCAGACTAAAACACACAGAAGACCTGGGGCAATATCCAATACTGTAAGTAGTTGAACTTCATTTATCTCATTTTAGATACTCTTCACCACCATGCTTTGGAGTAAAACTTAGTGCAGGGGAGAGAGCTGTGTGTTTTAAAACAAACCATTTTACAGTATTTAGACATGCGAAAACAGACCCGTTATCCTTCTAGTCTAGTGTCTTGTCTGACAGTACCAGATGCTTCAGAGAAAGGTACAAACAGCTACATAGACAATATATGGAATAACATGTCCATAGAAGTTTCTTCCTAACCTGAGGTAGTAATGTTTTGTTTATATTTTGGTACATGAAGATTATATTTTATAATTTTTTTAATTTGGCTAATAGATATTACTAAACATTATGTTTCATAATAAAGTAGGGAGAAATAAAATCCACTCTTAAATGAATGCTAAGAGGGATCTGAAATCTCTTTATAATTTCATTTATGTAACCATTGTCACAAGCCAAACCTTTTGATGTTAGATTGGAAGGGTTTGGGCATTTTGCCTTATCTGCCAAAGATCCAGCTGGTATTTTGTTGACTTGAAGGGTTTACAGTGGAATTTTATCTAGCTTCTTGAACTTAACTAGCTTGTATAGTCCTTATTTAACAACTCTTTCAAACTATAGCATTCAATGCTAAAATAAAGTGTGCTTTGATTTATTTACATGCTTCCTTATTATTAAGAAGTCCATTCCCTAGATAGGTGGTCTGGACTTTACAGTTAGACGCTTCTAATTAAAATTACTGTAAAACTTATATTTATCTCGTATAGAAACTTTGGACCTGTGAAGTTTGCACATTATTGGGACTAAACTTGGTGTTATATAAACAGTTGTATTATCTGAATGCCAGGGAACCAGAGCTGGGACCAACAAAGCCATTGTACTGAGACCTGATTATGTCGTCTTTTTTAAAAATTTCCTGGAGTGATTTTTAAAAAAATGTCCAAAAGAATGGATGAAATGATTAATGACACTTGAGAAAACTTCAGGAACAAAATGGTACTGTGCTGCACAAGACAGGCCGCATAAGACTATAGGAACAACTAGTACTGATCTCCATTCCAGCTGCAAATTGGGCTGCTAAGCTCTACTTCTGGCATTTTTTTTCGTATAATGCTGGAAAATTTGATTTTTTTGGCCATATAACACTTTGTTTAGCAGCTGGTACTAATCATTAAGAAACCTGAAGTAATTCTTGTGTAGGTATTCTGAATTTCATCTGGGTTTGTGCCATTTGTAATTTCATGAAACAAATAGAACTAGACTAGGAAACTAAGAAGTAAAGAGGGAAGATAAGATGACCAGGGCAAAATAATGTCCGTGATGTTGGATCATATCCATATGGACCGTTTTTACTGTGGGTTTCATTTCAGTGTTGAGTACAGGAACATCCCCCATTAGCCTTACTGCAGTTGATTCTCTGGGCTCATGGCTTTGACACAAGTTAAAGAAAAAGAAACACTACAAATGCACATGGGAAGGAAGCAGCAGAGAATCCTAGATGATGGTATGGAAGTAGAGACAACCTTCATTTTGAAAACATACCTTCCTATTAAAAGGAAAAGAAACTAAGGGTGAGATTCTCTGCTGCACATCTAGAAGACAAAAACCAGAATTCGGACCAGGGTGAAGTGGGCTAAAGTGACTTTAAGCCATTTTTGCACCCTCCTGATCCTAGGCTGCTGAAGGGTCTTGGAATGGGCCACAAGGTAATTTAGAGAGCCTTGAAAAGCAGTCTACAGCAACCTCCCTGAGCTGTGCTATGGGAGGCAGTGCTGCATGCCGCAGCCCTCCTCTGGCACACCCCCTGCTCCAGGATTTATCAAAGGGGCCTTGGATAAAGGCTTGTGGCAGGGGAATCCTCTTTTTTTCAGAGGGCTTTTAGAGCTCTTACCCCTTTTTGACCACTTTACCTGATGTAAAGGTGCAGGAGTGAGGATGTTACCTCAGATCTGTAAACAGCTTTGTCAAGGCTGGAACACCCTGAATTGTTTCAGTGTAACTTGACAGTGTATTTGTACGTTGCGCAGGAAGTCTCAGCTTGCCATAATACAGTGAGTCTACACTATTTCCGATGACACACAAACTTTGCGCACCAGTAGGAAGCATTTAGAAATGCGAATCAGTAATGGGGATCTTCAGCACTGCAAATACCATCTTTAAGATTCCTCTTGGTGTCAATTTGTCCAATATGTGAAACAGTCTACGTTAACAAATGTAGCTTTCTCTGTTTGAATTTGTAATCTATCTTCCTTATCTCCATGAACTTTGCCAGGAAGCTTTATAATTGCTACCCCTTTCAGTTTGCAATAGTACCTTTTGTAACTATGTAATTTTTGGCCCTATTTTGGTACAGAATGCTGGCAAAGTTTTCCGTGGAACGAAAATGCCTGGGAAAATGGGTAATGTCTACAGGACCGCTTTTGGATTAAAGGTGAGTTCTAAATATAGTAGTCACGTGTGGAGAGAGTTCACTCTATTTCAGTCAGATAATGAGGCTTGGCAGCTGCTAGAACACCATGTTATGCTGACAGGTACTAGTGACTGCTTGGAGCACAAACCTCTTTCAGATTGGGTGTGAACGCCTCCTTTAATTGCCATAACTGTCAGGATGAGTTAATCAGAAGCCCCCATCAAAGTCTATATCTATACTACCACTCTTGTCTGTATGACTTATGTCGCTAAGGGGTGTAAAAAACACACCCTGAGCGACATAAGTTTCACCAACAGAAGCGCCGGTGTGGACAGTGCTATGTTGGCAGGAGAGCTTCTCCCACCAACATAGCTACCGCTGCTCGTTGGGGGTGGTTTAATTATGTCAACCAGAGAGCTCTCTGCCGTCGGCATAGAGCAGCTACATGAGAGATCTTAAAGTGGCACAGCTGCATTGGTACAGATGTGCCGCTGTAAGCTCTCTACTGTAGGCATGGCCTAAGCCAAAAAAGAATGTGAACCCATCCAGATGTTCTTGCTGAGTATCGTTTTTTTGCGGAGAGGTGAGGGGAAAAGGGAGGCAGAATACCTAGAAACTGAGAACACCCTGAATGAAGAGGCAGAGCAGCTGAAAACACAGCGTCTAACCCTGGAAGAAATGTGGGGAGAGGTTTTTGGGTGTTGGTGCTGTGAACAAAAGAAGCTGTTTCCTGCTATTTGATTCTTTCTGCATTCAGTGACACAGGATTTTGTGCATTCTTTATAAATAAAACTTCATCAAAGAAATACCTCACTATCACCAATTTCTGCTCCCACCTGGAACATCCCTGGGGTCCCAGTCTTTGACTAGCTGCTTGGGTTGAAAAGGGGGAACACTCCACAGTGCAATATCACATTTCAGTCAGAACCCAAACTAGGCCAGCATAACTGGACCATGAAAGAGAGAGCCAAAAAGGCCCAAACAGCATGTGTCCATCCTCATCTTGTAACTTAAAAAGAAGGCATCTGCTCTGCTCCCCCATGTGCACGCATCCTAAGGGCTTGGGTTTTGGAGGTGGGATTGGAGTTATAGATGAGGCTTTAGCACACATGGTATATGCCTCACTGTCTTTCTGCGAGGCGGGCAGGAAAAGTACTTTTTGGAAGGTTACCAGCTGACTTCTTAGAGCCTGTGCGAGCTCTAGTTCGGATCCAGGCCAGGTCAGCAGTGCAATAAGTTCTTACAGTCTGGTGGCTGCCCCGTTCACTGCCCTGTATCAGATGAGGTTATCGTCCCAGTCCAGTTCCTGATGCACACATGGTCACAGCGCTAAATGGGAATGAAGACACGCTTACCCATACAGGTGACCTCTTTAGACAGTACAAGAAACATTTTAGTGCTGTGGTGGGAGGAAGTTTGTGCTGCTGTTATCTGGTTGGTGGATAAGTAGAGAACTTATATTTTCAGGGTGTTCAATTCAGCACTTTCACAAGTACTTGAAAAATTAGCAGCTGTTTGCAGTAACATTTCCATGACAAAAAGAAAAGGAGGACTTGTGGCACCTTAGAGACTAACCAATTTATTTGAGCATAAGCTTTCGTGAGCTACAGCTCACTTCATCGTAGCTCACGAAAGCTTATGCTCAAATAAATTTGTTAGTCTCTAGGGTGCCACAAGTACTCCTTTTCTTTTTGCGAATGCAGTCTAACATGGCTGCTACTCTACAACATTTCTGTGACACTTGCTTATCCTGCTAATTTGTCCCACAAGGTTTTGCTATAGCTCTCACTATAATGGGAAGAGAGACTGAAGTAAAATTGTGATTGCTAGATTAAGATCTGAGCTTCAAGGGCTGATTGAAGTCGGCAGACAGGCTCCTATTGACTTATGGTTCAAGCCTCAAATGTATTTGAGAGGTGCCAGCTCAAAGTTGAGTTTGATTCAAATGTTGGGGCAAATTTAGGACAAATAACATAAAAGGCTCAGTCACACCTCTTCTCCCCAGAGTCCCAACTTCTGCTAACACATTTGTGCTTCATTTTGCCATTCAGCATGGGCATACTTATGCCTTTTGTATGCATACACAATATATTATAAAATATATTCCTACATTGCATAAGCATCCCAATTGCGGAGCTATATTTTACTCCACAATTGCTCACATTTACCAACTTTTAACTGGCTATAAATAGTAAATTGAATAAATCCTGAAACCATAATAAAATGCATAGGTTTCCATTTTTTTTAATCCTGCAGGTGTGGAGGATCAACACAAAGAACAACATTATTTATGTAAATGGTTCTGTCCCAGGTCACAAAAATTGTTTGGTAAAGGTACGTTTGTTTTTCAAGTTCTTTCATTTATCAAATAACTATTCATAATCTTGACAGTATTTTATGTGGTCTACATTTTCCCCTGTTTGAAAGTTGATTTGTAGTGGAAAATAGTTGTTTTTGCTCTTTATTTGTTTAGGATCTGATCTTGCACCTTTGAATCCAATGGGAGCAAGATTAGGACTGGGATGGGGAATAATCAGTAGAGATAATGATGAGTCCCTTATTCAGATTTGTTTTTGCTTTGTAATGGAAATGCCTATCGATGTTTAGCCTTCAGTACATTAACACACCTTGAATATGATTCTGTAATAGGTAGCTTCAATCTCGTGCATTTCTGTTTATCACTGTTAAACTGAGCCACTGGATTTGTTGGTGAGCTTTTCAAAGTACCTGCTCTGAGAGCTGTACTGATCATGAATGAACAGAAGTGTGGTTGACATCTGGTTAAGAGCAATCTGGTGTCTTGACCATACATGGCAGGAGTTGGAATGCTACCTTTTTGTCTTTCTCCAACACTGCTTTCTGAAAAACAGTAAAGGTGAAAATGGGGCAGCTAGTGGTCATGGGATGTTTTTCTTCTGTTAACATGCACAGAATACTGCCATTTTCTGCAGCATTTAAGGAAATGATCTCAAAATCCCATGAAATCTTCTCGGGATTCATAGGTTCCAAGGCCAGATGGGACCATTGTGATCATCTAGTCTGACTTCCCGTAATAGTTGGAACATGTGTATTTCAAGTATGCATACATAATTCTAGAAGCCATAATAGTGAAATAAAAGACAAGGCATGGGCAAGTCAGAAACCAACTGGCTCTAAGGACTCTTTCAAAATAGACTTGTCTTACTGCCTTTCTTTCCAACATTGCCTAAGCATATTGTAAATAGGTACTTGCAGGTATCTACTACTTGCAGGAAGTTAAGCCAGTTCCTCTGAGTTGGAGTAGATACCCAAAGACTCTCAATACCTTGTTATGTCTATATAGGGGTAAAACACCCACAGCTGTCCTGGGTCGGCTGACTCAGGATCACAGTGCTTTAGCTGCAGGGCTAAAAAATCAGTGTGTAGACATTCAGGCTTTCGCTGGAGCCTGAGCTCTGAGGCCCTCCACCCCGAAAGGGTCCCAGAGCTTAGGCTTCGGCCCAAGACCAAATGTCTATACAATGACTTTTTTTTTTCAGCCCCAGAGCCTGAGCCGTGCAAACCCAAGTCATCTGACCTGGGCCAGCTGCAGGTGTTTTATTTCTGTGTAGACATATCCTTTAAGATCAGTGACCAGAGAGACAGCAATAACAATTGGACAGATTGCCAGGTGTTAGTTGCACAATATATACTTACAGTGCATCAGGACAGGGGAAATTAAATTATCCACCTCTTGAAAATCTCTAAGTTAATAGTTCAGAAGGTTTGAATATTGTGATTAAGAAGTTCATGTTTCTGGTATGTGTTCTATTATAGACACTGAGTTTGTGATATGTACTGCACCGTTTGTGGAACAGCATTACAGACTTTTTTGCTTGCTTTAATAAAACAAACAAAACCCCTCACTTTAGAAGGGAAATGTTTCATTTTCTGGGGGGGGGGAATAACATCACATCACGCATCAATTTTTCTTTTTTTCTGACTTTGGTCTCAAAATCATTTCAGAGTTGAGAGGCAACTTTGAACCCTGCTTTGGATATGACCTCATTTCCTAGTTTAGGAGGTGGATTACACAAATCAGTCTTTTTTTTTTTTTTTTAGTGAGGGAGGAAAGGGGGATTATACAGATGTCCAGAAAGATGTTTTTGGCAAATAAATCAGACTTCTCTCCAAAAGTAGTGGGCATGACATCAGTACTTTGGACTGTAACCGTGGGTGATTATTCATTAATTTAAACAGATGAAAAACCAGTCTTTTCTCTAGCTGCATTCAGAGGTTCTTGTCAATCCTGAGACACACAACTGAGGTTGATGTAGTTATGGTTAATGGGTTTGAGGTTCAATGAAATAAGAGTGGGAGAAGTGGTGATTTAGGCCTGTGGTACAAATAATTCTTCATTTTAAAACTATATATAACCCTTTTTTCTCTCTGCAGCACGAGGCAAAGGTCACTTGCTGATTTAAACTGGAGTAAATGGTGGATTCTCTTGAACTTGAAGTCTTTAAATCATGAGTTGAGGATTTCAGTAATTCAGCCAGAGAATCTGGGTCTATTACAGGAGTGGATGGGTGAGGTTCTTTGGCCTGTGGTGTGCAGGAGGTCAGACTAGATGATCACAATGGTCCCTTCTGGGCTTAAAGTCTATGAGTCTAAGTATAATTTTGTTGTAGGCCATTATTTTTAAGTCTTAATTTGTGAGACCTTGTCTGTAACTGGTGGATGAATAGCATACCATGTCTTTATGCTCCTATTTAATGATATCACTACATGAGAACTATAAATTGTCTCTTTTGTACTAAAATATATTTTTGCAAAAGATCTTGCATTTAGGTCACATCTTTGTGTCGGAGACAAGTATTTAAAATTGGTAAATACATAGATGGGCCCCATCACCTCAGAATCTGAATACCTTGTGAGATCTTGCTCACATTTTTTTATTTAAACTAAATGACATTAAAGATTAGACTTTAGGGAGCAGTATGACTGCTCAGAGCTCTGGTACGAAACTGCAGAAAAACCTGAGTGTCTCTGGATTAAGTTTAGAAGTGTGAGCAACAAGAGTGATGTAGTGGTGGGAGTCTGCTATAGACCACCGGACCACGGGGATGAGGTGGATGAGGCTTTCTTCCAGCAACTCGCAGAAGCTACTAGATCGCACGTCCTGGTTCCAATGGGTGACTTTAATTTTCCTGATATCTTCTGGGAGAGCAATACAGCGGTGCATAGACAATCCAGGAAGTTTTTGAAAAATGTAGGGGACAATTTCCTGGTGCAAGTGCTAGAGGAGCCAACTGGGGGGGGGGGTACTTTTCTTGACCTGCTGCTCACAAACCGGGAAGAATTAGTAGGGGAAGCAAAAGTGGATGGGAATTTGGGAGCCAGTGACCATGAGTTGGTTGAGTTCAGGATCCTGACACAGGGAAGAAAGGTAGGCAGCAGGATATGGACCCTGGACTTCAGGAAAGCAGATTTGACTCCCTCAGGGAACGGATGGGTAGGATCCCCTGGCAGAATAACATGAGGGGGAAAGGAGTCCAGGAGAGCTGGCTGTATTTCAAGGAATCCCTGTTGAGGTTACAGGGACAAACCATCCCGATGTGTCGAAAGAATAGTAAATATGGCAGGCGACCAGCTTGGCTTAACGGTGAAATCCTAGCGGATCTAAAACATAAAAAAGAAGCTTACAAGAAGTGGAAGGTTGGACATATGACCAGGGAAGAGTATAAAAATATTGCTCGGGCATGTAGGAATGAAATCAGGAGGGCCAAATCGCACCTGGAGCTGCAGCTAGCAAGAGATGTCAAGAGTAACAAGAAGGGTTTCTTCAGCTACGTTGGCAACAAGAAGAAAGCCAAGGAAAGTGTGGGCCCCTTACTGAATGAGGGAGGCAACCTAGTGACAGAGGATGTGGAAAAAGCTAATGTACTCAATGCTTTTTTTGCCTCTGTCTTCACGAACAAGGTCAGCTCCCAGACTGCTGCGCTGGGCATCACAGCATGGGGAGTAGATGGCCAGCCCTCTGTGGAGAAAGAGGTGGTTAGGGACTATTTAGAAAAGCTGGATGTGCACAAGTCCATGGGGCCGGACGCGTTGCATCCGAGAGTGCTAAAGGAATTGGCAGCTGTGATTGCAGAGCCATTGGCCATTATCTTTGAAAACTCATGGCGAACGGGGGAAGTCCCAGATGACTGGAAAAAGGCTAATGTAGTGCCAATCTTTAAAAAAGGGATGGAGGAGGATCCTGGGAACTACAGGCCAGTCAGCCTCACCTCAGTCCCCGGAAAAATCATGGAGCAGATTCTCAAAGAATCAATCCTGAAGCACTTAGAGGAGAGGAAAGTGATCAGGAACAGTCAGCATGGATTCACCAAGGGAAGGTCATGCCTGACTAATCTAATCGCCTTCTATGATGAGATTACTGGTTCTGTGGATGAAGGGAAAGCAGTGGATATATTGTTTCTTGACTTTAGCAAAGCTTTTGACATGGTCTCCCACAGTACTTTTGTCAGCAAGTTAAAGAAGTATGGGCTGGATGAATGCACTATAAGGTGGGTAGAGTGTTGGCTATATTGTCGGGCTCAACGGGTAGTGATCAATGGCTCCATGTCTAGTTGGCAGCCGGTGTCAAGTGGAGTGCCCCAGGGGTCGGTCCTGGGGCCGGTTTTGTTCAATATCTTCATAAATGATCTGGAGGATGGTGTGGATTGCACTCTCAGCAAATTTGCGGATGACACTAAGCTAGGAGGAGTGGTAGATACGGTGGCAGGGAGGGATAGGGTACAGAGGGACCTAGACAAATTGGAGGATTGGGCCAAAAGAAATCTGATGAGGTTCAACAAGGATAAGTGCAGGGTCCTGCACTTAGGACGGAAGAACCCAATGCACCGCTACAGACTAGGGACCGAATGGCTAGGCACCAGTTCTGCAGAAAAGGACCTAGGGGTGACAGTGGATGAGAAGCTGGATATGAGTCAGCAATGTGCCGTTGTTGCCAAGAAGGCCAATGGCATTTTGGGATGTATAAGTAGGGGCATAGCGAGCAGATGGAGGGACGTGATCGTCCCCCTCTATTCGACATTGGTGAGGCCTCATCTGGAGTACTGTGTCCAAGTTTTGGGCCCCACACTACAAGAAGGATGTGGATAAATTGGAGAGAGTCCAGCGAAGGGCAACAAAAATGATTGGGGGTCTGGAACACATGACTTATGAGGAGAGGCTGAGGGAACTGGGATTGTTTAGTCTGCAGAAGAGAAGAATGAGGGGGGATTTAATAGCTGCTTTCAACTATCTGAGAGGTGGTTCCAGAGAGGATGATTCTAGACTATTCTCAGTGGTAGAAGAGGACAGGACAAGGA